ACCCGGGCCGGCGGTGACGGGAGGTGGCAGATGGCCAGTGGCATAGGCGGCCCCAGGACCCTTGGGAACCGCGCTGAGCATCGGCTCAAACCTGCCCCTCCCCACCCTCACGGAAAAAGAAAGGGTCCGTGGATAGAGAAGGAGGGAGGGCGATGGGTTGCGACCTCAGGGTCGGTTTACGCATGCGGAAAAGGAAAGGGGAGGTAAACGTCGGGTATCCGCCCGGCCCGGGGCACCTGGCCGTCCGCAGGGTGAGGGGACGCCACCAACACGCTTCAAAGAGGCGTCCTGCAAAACGTGAACCTCGGGGATAGATGCATGGAAAGTCTTGTCCCCTGCGGCCAGAGCTGCCCCCTCTATTTCTGCAGGTGCATTTCCAGACGGCTCCCTCTGTTCTCACGCTCGCTTCTTGCTTGTTTTGAAATCCAAAAGGCTCTTCTACCCTGTCATCTCTCCCTGTCACCCTCTCATACACATATAGGCCCTCAAGCTCCTCCCTCCCACATGAACTACAACATCCTCTCTTAGGTGCAAAGCTCTGCTACTGATATTAGGTCATCCTTTGTCCCATGCCACCTTCATGGTCTCTCTACTGCCAGCCAACACCGAAGGGCTGCTCTCTCGATCACACATCTATCCGTATGCCCTCAGTATTTCTATTTGTTCTGATTTACTACGCAGGCACGGGTGGTTGAGGGCCCTCTGGAAAGGTTCAGTTTAAACTCCAGGGGGGCGGGGTGGAGAGCAAGAGCAACAACACTCCAGAGGTATTTATGGCATTATACTGCACCAATTTTGCCTATGGTTACAGCTGTAAACACATTTATTTCGTTCTTGTAAACCAGTTGTGATAAATACTGCACAAGGCATAGAAAAAAGGAAAGCTGCTAGGACTGTTTACTCATAAAAGAGCTGACATCTTTTCAGTGCTTTTTTCAGACAGCCAAGAAAAAAAATATATATTTTACTATAAATAGATCCGTTTTACCAGTAAAGTCTGCTGAATCACAGCACCTCCCTTTCAGTCTCCAGCTTCCCGAAATATTTTTCTCTCTCCTTTTTTCGTGCCATTGTCTCTTTTGTTGCATTGTCTCTCTGGCTGGGCTTTGGGAGGGGGTTGCTGCCTGTGCTGTGCGTAGGGGCAGCAACATGAGAAGGGCCGGAGCAGAGGGGAACACACACACACACACCCCCCCCCGCTCCGCGGCCTGGCGAGGGGGAGCTTCCATCCCTTCTCTCTGCCCGCAAGCCGGCCCAGCCTCTCCGCGGTCCCGCTCCGTGTTTCCTGCCCCGCGACTGGGGCCGAGGGGACGATCCCGGCGCTTTAGGCTTTTCCGTGGGAGTGTGCCCCCGCTGTGGCCCCAGAGCTCACCCGAAGACTCGGAGGAGACTCCTGCTCGCTGAATCCCCCATTTATTTAAATGAAGTTTGCAAGAAGTTTAAATCTTGTAGCGTGTTTTTCTTGGTTTGTTTTTTTTTTAAGCGTTGTCAGCACCCAGAAATCTGAGCACAAAAGAAACCCCAACCCGTCCGTGTACGTCGCAGTCCAATTTAAGCCAGTGGCAGAGGAGTTAAAATGCCGGTGAGGCTGCTCGCTTTCCGCGGGGACAGGGCTGGAGCGGAGGAGAGAAGGATAAGAAGCAGGGCCGAGGTTTCGCCGCGTCCGCAGCTCAGCCAAGCTGTTGTTTTAAAAGAGCAATAAAAATGAATTATGACTAAACGCCTTCTCACTTAATGGTTTTAGACGGGGATCCCCAGCCCCGGCAAATACGTAAGAGGATTTTTATTTGTGCATGTGTTCCTGCAATTGATCTCTTTGATGACATTCTCATTCATAGAAAGAGTTTGATTTATGACTTTCGGAAGAATTGCCTTCAGCCCTTCCAGCTATAACCCACGCATCCCAGCTCCACAACGTGTTGCAGGGCTGGGAGGCAGCACATGGACGGGCAGCAGACTGCCGGCCACAAACCTCGTCCTGTCACTACCGGCTCACACGCACTCACACGCACACGCACTCACACTCACTCTCACGCACAGAGGGAGCCGCGATCGCACCCGCCCAGCATCCCCTGGCCCCGGAGCGACAGGGATCCCCTGGCATCTGTTGCTCGGATTTATCCCGAAGGACGGGGCTCACCCTCAGCCGTGGTGTCCGAGAATGCTGCTGGCCGGGTGGCAGGCAATTTGGCAGATATTTCTGAGAGCCCATTTTGGCTGCCGCCAGCAGAGAGCGGGAAGCCCCGAGGACATTGTAACTTTAAATTCAGAGTTTCCTCTTTTCGTTATCAGTCCTTTAAACCTTATCAGGTTTAAACAGAAACAAATTTTCAGCTGTGGTCCTGCACTGTCCCTCAAAACGACAGAGTGGAGGAGCCGATTTCTACCTAAATGCTTTTTTTTTTTTCTCCCGCCACCTTCCCCTGCGTTTCTGTCATCGTTTTGATTTTACAGGCACTAACTTCTCCATTTCCTTTCCTTCCAGGGCTGATTTCTTGAACCGGTCAGCACTTGAGAAGTAACCAACCGCACTCTCTGTGAGCTCTGATATTTTAAGATACGTTTCCAAAAAAACAGATTGCTGGGTGCTAAGCACTGCTTTCTAGAAAAACGGGATTATTTCCGCCCCTCTCAAAAAAAATCCAAAAAACAACCTTTCCTGTATGTATGTAACAGGCTAGTTTCTGCAAGAGACGCTTTTCCTACTGAGTCTCTTTTATGTTTTGCCTGTAACAGCGAAAGTGCTCGTCATGCTTTTGTTACAGCTCAGCATTTCCAAGCTTTGTATCCTCACGGAGATGTTACTTATACATTAAAAAGAAGAGATCCCCATCAAAGCTGTGAATGATTTTAGTTTCTTTGGTTTGGTTTGGTTTGGTTTTTTCCTTGTGAGAACCCTAGCAATAAAGAATTCGGACATGTTTTCCCTCTCTAATAAATGTCCTAAATTGCCAAAAGAGGAGACCTCATAGTCAGAAGGTTGGATTTTGATTATTAGTAAATTAATAGTAGAAGGGGTGGGGAGACATACCCAACATGTTATCAATCTTAAAAGAAGAGAGAAATAGAGAGGGAGAAAGAGAAAGAAAAAAAGAGAAAGCTCCTTGTAGCAAACAAGAATTTATTCTACCAAAAATACTTATGACAAGGCATCCTAATGCAATACAAAAATAAAAAGAAAGTGAAGATACAATTCCTATATGATCACTTTCTTACAGACCTCATATATTGCTTTCATAGAAGGACCTAGAATGTGGCTAGTTGAACACAACTAAAACTTCGTAGGAAATGGCAAAATGGCACAGCAGAGAGGGAAGTAATAAACAGAAAATACTGACCAGGAAAAGAGAGGAAAAAAATAAAATTAATTCACGGGAGAAATAAAGAAGAAGAAGAAGAAGAAGAAGAAGAAGAAGAAGAAGAAGAAGAAGAAGAAAAAGAAGAAGAAGAAGAAAGCCGGACCCTTGGAGAGGACGTCTTTAATTTCTCAGTAATTCAGATGCTGCAAGTCAATTGTGGTGAGTGTGTCTGTAAAAAAGTCAAAACTGTCAGCAGAAATATCTACAGGACTGTCCAGAGATCCTGGCAAACTGGGGGAAACTGCATCTGAAAGCTGTAGGCAGGAATCTGTGGAGAAAACGTTAAAGTCCTGTAAAGAAGGGACATCTAGGGCCTCAGGACTGTCATTGTTCAGGCCAGCTGCACAGTTCTGGGCCATTGTTGAGAGGCAGTTTTGAACAGTGGGTGACTGATGTTGAAAATGTTTCAGATTTTTCTCATTGCTCGTTAGAGGCGAAACGGGGAAAGTTTGGGACTCGCCATTGTGCGCATTCTGCGCCTGCTGTTGGGAGAGGGCATTCTGCTGGAAAGCGTAGCCTTCCCGCTCCAAGAGAGCGCCGGAGACGTTGCTGAGGGCTTGCTCGAAGAGGGATTTCTCCTCCTCCTCCTCCTCCTCCTCCTCCTCCTCCGCGGCTTTCTCGGCGTCCTCCAGGCTCTTAAATTTCCCCTCGCCGTTTTGGTTCTCCTTGCACTGGGTCTGTCTCTTGTGCTTCATCCTCCTGTTCTGGAACCAGACTTTGACTTGCCTCTCAGTCAGGTCCAGCAGGGCTGCGATCTCGACCCTCCTTGGTCTACAGAGATACTTGTTGAAATGAAATTCTTTCTCTAGCTCCAAAAGCTGGGTGTTGGTGTAAGCCGTCCTCAGCCGCCTAGATCCACCGCTACCACTATCGGGGATTTCAAGGGTGTCTGTTAAAAAAAAAAAAAAAAAAAAAAAAAGGTTTTTTTTTAAGAAAAACACCACCACCACACGCACCCCAAAGCACCACCGTCAGAAGAGCGAAAGCAAAAAACAAACGCACGGACACACAAAACAGATAAATGCAGGGATTGAATTTCAGCACCCGACTACATCTCATCCCGGGGGGGGTGGGGGGGGAGTGCTCTCTCTGCGCGTATGTATCTATATCTATATGTCCATATAGCATAAAATAGCAACTGCAACAAAATGGCCGCCTGTGGATGCAGTAAACCCATTGTGTTGCACTGCTGAGCGCCCGGTGCTGCGTGCCCGTCGGCCACCTCCGGAAAATTACTGCCTGCAACTCCCCAACCTCCCCACACCAGAGCAAACTTTATATT